AGATTTGGCAATGAAAGCCTTAAAAAATATAAATCCTCCTGATTATAGTCAGCTCTTTAGAAATCTAGTTCAAGGCCCAGGCAAATGGTTCCCCGATTTCCTTGCCAGAGTCTTGGAGGCAGTAGAGAAAAGACTACTGTCTGGCCCGATCAAGGCAATTTGGTCAAACAATTAGCTTGGGAAGGTGCTACCAAAGAGGCAAAAGCAGCAATCGCCCCAGTCCGTAATGAAGACATTTCTAAATGGATAGTAGCCACAAAGGAGGTAAACCCTGCTGATATACTCATACAGACCCTAACTGCAGCCATTAACAAATTGAGCACAGAGAAGTCTAATGACCCTCCAGTTTGTTGGGGATGCCAGGAAATAGGACACCTGAGGCGAAACTGCCCAAACGCTGCAAAATGGGGCAAGCCCAAAAACGCTGTGTCCCAGATGTAAAAAAGGCTTTCATTGGGCAAAAGATTGCAAGACCAAACCTTTAAACTCCCAGTGGGGCGGCCCTCGGCCCAGCAAGTAAGAGGGAGTCCCACCACCATTAACTGGTCGATGCCTATCTTCAATCTGAGGCCGAAATTGACCCCATATTTAGATGACATTGCCTTTGTGGGTTTAATTGATATGGGAGCAGATGTTACTGTCTTAAAAGCTAGGGATGTAAGAAAAATACAACATTGGAAGACAACACCCGGACCTGACCTCCAAGGTGTTGGAGGATTAAAATTGGCTGATCAGGTCATCACATCTGTAACTTGGCGAGATGACAATGGAGATACGGGAACCATCTTTCCACTAATTGCTGAGGTTTCCATGACCTTATGAGGGAGAGATGTGCTCTCACAAATGCAAACGGTCCTTACTACGGATCACAAATCTCCACAAGCCAGCAGCTTTAATGGAGAAACTACAAGTAAGATTCACCCCCAATTCTAGGGGCCACTGCTCACCTCATACAAAAGCCAAGCCCAATACCCATTGAATGGGAAAAAACAGGAAGCATCTGGGTAGAGAAGTGGCCAATAATACAACCCAAACTTAGCATCCTTAAAGAATTAGTCTAACAATGAGCCAATGCAAACACCTAGTGCACTCTAGCAAGAATTGTGCACCCCTTGCCCCGTTAGGCCCACTGCAACAAGCAGGAGCGAACCCGCGAGGCCTTGCTCCTAATAAGCTATGGCAAGTGGACGTCACCCACATTAACTCCTTAAACTTAAGTTTATCTGTGTGGTGGTAGATACTTATTCAAAGGCTGTATTTGCAACAGCCCAATCTGGAGAAAAAGCTAGTAATGTGATAAAGGTGGTTAAATCAGCCATGCTGGTCCTTGGTGTCCCCTGGACCATAAAGACTGATAACGGGCCAGCGTATACATCACAGGAATTTAATTCCTTCCTGAAATCTTGGAACATACAGTCTGCTACTGGTATCCCATACAATCCACAGGGACAAGCAATCATTGAAAGAACTCATAGGACGATTAAACTTCTCTTACAAAGACAGACAAAGAAACAATCATATGCTCTCAGACCCACAGCTTGCTTTGGCTGAGGTCCTTTTCACTATCAATTTTCTTACTTTTGATTCCCAAGGGATAAGCCCAGCTTATAAACACTGGGGATCCTTTCCATCCCAGACCCCAGCCCCTATGGTTAGGTGGAAAGACCCCCTGACAGGAGAATGGAAGGGACCACACCCTCTGCTAACCAAAAGTCGAGGATATGCTTGTGTCTTTCCAGAGAATGCGGAACAGCCCATTTGGGTCCCAGCCAGAAACAACAAGCCTGCAACTGACAGCCAACCAGAACCAGCTGAACAAGATGGAGACTCTGCCTTGTTAGCAGATGCACCTGCCCTATCATCCTACCCTGAAGAACTGCCCATAGCCATGCCTGTTACTGTTTTATACCCCCACTAGCTCTGGTCAGCCACTCAAACGGCCCACAGCCTGTGTGCGGTCATGCCATTCCTGATAACCATTATTCCTCATTCCTACCCCTATCTGAGCAAGTAATCCTGTGGTCTCTCGATTTGAGCGCTTGTTAGTCAATGATGGGTAAGATCCCCTGGGGGACAACCTAAGACAGGCACAGCTGCGTATGGAGACCACATGGAAAGTGGGGTCAACAATGGTATGGCCAAGAATCATGCCTCCCGTGGCTCAAAAATAAATGAAAAGGGGGAAATGTGGTGGAAAGAGAAGGCCATGCCAAGGTGGCCACTGGCAAGCGAGTGTCAGTTACTCAGGAATGGCTTTGAAACCCACCTGGCAACGGAGCTTGCCTGGCAACAGGCTGTGATTGGTTGGGACATAGACCACCCCTTGACCAGATTGGCTGGTCTTGGCTATATAAGATATTGTTCCAACTGTAATAAACGAGTCTGTGGGCTGCTCGCCTCAAGCCTGCTTTCACCCGACTCTCTGTTTTGGAAAAAAAAAAAAAAGACTGCTAGTCTTTTCACAGTGGCCTTGCAATCATTACCCGCATTCTCAAATTAATATGTCAGGTATTAAAGATAGCATTTCCATTATGGTTTTGGGGAGTGATGGATCTGGTGCCAAGAACCTTTTTTGGCTGTGAGACTGCTAGAATGATGGAATTCTCAGTGTGTGACCAGGAAGCTGAGTGTGGGCTGGGAGGGGAGGGAAGAGAGGAAGAGCGTGGATTTGGCCCTGGAGAAGCGACAGCAGCAATGACTGAATCTATCTACACTGACAGCTAGATGTACACACAGATACAGTCCTTGGCTTTGTGGGTTTTTCCCTCAGTAGTGTGCCATGTACACAATACAGTAGAACCACTTTTATGTAGTTGGAAGATCATCCTAAAAACATATCAAATTAAGTACTTTCATGTAAAAAATCTATGTTGAATAGGAGATAGAGGCCCACACTATAAATTACAGAGGAAAGTGAACATTCATAATTCTTCTTTATTATTGGAGTAAAATATACCCAACGTAGTGTTTATTATTTTAACCCCTCAGTGCACAATTTAGTGGCATGCAGAACATTCACAAGGTCGTGTAACTGTTCCCACTGTTGACACCTGTGACTTTTCACCATCCCCAACAAAACTCTGCATCCCTTAACCAACACCCTCCTCCGGGCAAGTCTCTGCTGACCCTTATTCCATCTCCATCTTTGTGAATTTGGCTTTGTAGGTGCCTCACATAAGTAAGATTAAACAGTGTTTTTCTTTTGGCACTGACTTATTACACTTAGTATGATGTCTTCAAGATTCACCCAGTTGCAGCCTGTGTCAGAACTTTCCTTTTTAAGGCAGAATAATCTTCTGTTATATGATGGAGGGTCCGCATTTTGTTTATCTGTTCATCTGTTGGTAGACACCAGGGTGGGTTTCACCTTTTGCCTGTCATTAATAATGCTGCTAGAATCGCAGGTGCACAGATATCTCTGAGTCTCTCAGGTTTTGGAGAGATACTTAGGAGTGGAGTAGCTTCTCACCTTCTGAGCTTGCAGGCTGTGTGGAGGAGCCCCCTTCCTCCTGAGACATCGCTTGCTTCCAACTGCAGCAGGAAGCATCGATTTGGGGTGCTGTCCCTGCTGCGACTCCGGCAGTCTCCATGACACCCGATACCCTTCCACCACACTTCCTTTGCTGCTTAAGTCAACCAGAGTTGTTTTTGTTTCTTGCAGTGCAAGCCTTGACAGTTTTTCACACTTTCCTGTTCTCTAGCCCAGCAGTTCATCAATTTGTCATCAATTTCCTGTGCATTCCTCTGGATAATTCTCTATGTTTTTCTTATTTGATTTTTTAATGGACTGCACTTCTTGGAGCAGTTTTCATAACAAAACTGAGTGGAAGATGGAGATTTTTTCCATAGACCTTCCCCCACATTCACATAGCTTCCCCTGTGTCAACAGCCTCAATGAGAGTGGTGTGTTTCTTACTGTTGATGAACATACATTTGACACATCATTCTCCTCCAGGGTCCATAGTTTACATTAAGGTTCACTCTACTTTTTTTCTTTTTGGTAAGATTTACTTTATTTTTGTGAAAGGCAGAGTGACGGAGAGAAAGAGGGAGAGACAAAGAGAGAAAGAGATCTTCCATCTACTGGTTAATTCCCCAATAAGTGGGGCTGGGCTGGGCCAAAACCAGGAGCCTGGAACTCCAGCTGGGTCTCCCATGTGGTTGTCAAGGACCCAAGCACTTGGGCCATCTACTGCTGCTTTCCTGGGCACATGAGCAGGGAGCTGGATCAGAAATGGTGCAGGGGCCAGCGTGGTGGTATAACAGGTAAAGCCGTTGCCTGTGACACTGGCATCCCATCTGGATGCTGGTTTGAGTCTTGGTTGCGACACTTCTGATCCAGCTCCCTGCTACTGCACCTGAGAAAATCAGTAAAAGATGGCCCAGGTGCTTGGGCCCCTGTTACCCCTGTGGGAGACCCAGAGGAGGCTCCTGGCTCCTGGCTTTGGCTTGGCTCAGCCCCAGCTGTTGTGGGTCATTTGAAGAGGGAACCAGTGGATGAAAGATCTTTCTCTCTGTCTCTCTGTAATTCTGACTTTCAAATAAATGAAATAAATCTGAAAAAGATGGAGCATCTGGGATTCAAACTGATCTGGGATGCCAGCTGTTGCTGGGGCCAGTTTAACCTGCTGCACCAGATGCTGGCGCCTGATTCACTCTTGGTGTTGCATGTTCTGTGGGTTTGGACTAATGCAGAATGACCTGTATCTACCAGTATAGTATCACACACAGTATTTTCAACCCTAAATATCCTCTGGGCTCTGCCTGTTCATCCCTGCCCCTCACCCCTGGAAACCACTGATCTTTGTGTTGTCTCCATAATTTCTCTTTTTCTAGAATGTCAGGTAGTTGGAAAATTATCATATGTGACTTTTTCAAATTGGGTTCTTTCTCTCGGTAAGATGCATTTATGTTTCATGTCTTTTCATGTCTTTTCAGAGCTTGACAGCTCATTTCTTTTAGTGCTGAAAAATATTTTCATTGACTGGGTGTGCCACAGTTTGTTTATATATTCACCCACTGAAGGACATCTTCATTGCATCCAAGTTTTAAAACCATGAGTAAAACTGCTATATGCATCTGCGTGTAGGTTTTTGTGTAGATATAAGATTTCAACTCCTTTGGATAATTACTAAGAAGCATGATGACTGGATGGTATGGTAAGGATATTTTAGTTTTATAAGAAACTGCCAAATTATTTTCTAAAGTGTTTGTGCCATTTCGTATTCTCACCAGTAGGGAGTGAGTGTTCCTGTTACTCCATCTCCTCGCCAGCACTTGACACTGTCGGTGTTCTGGACTTTGGCCATATGGAGAGGTATGTGGTACCATCTTTTAATTTTTGAACATGGAAAAGAGAGTGTATGATTGGCTCACTTACTAGCACTCACTTGAGACTGGAGCCTTGAGAATGTAGATCACGGGCTGCAAATGTTAGCTTAGTAACTTTCTAGTATCTGTGCTTGGAGTTGGACTGGAGACAGACATCACTGCTGCTGTGGGCTTTCTGGTGAATTGAAAGGTGATTGTGAGGTGCTGTGCAAGAAGTTCAGCAGGCAAGGGCAAGAAATGAACAAGATGGGGCTCCAAGTACCATGCCAGAGCCAAGAGCCTGAGAAAACCGACAACTGGAGAGATGGATTTTGGTTTCTGTGATGTCTTCCTCCAACCATGTCGGTTGCATGACTGCAGTAATCCTTCATTTTTGACCTTTAAGTCTGAGTGGGTTAGGATCAGAGTGGCGTTGGCTTGGGTCCTATGCACCTACATAAGGATTGTTGCGTTCTAGTATTCTCTCTAAGGTAGCTGGGACTTTGCCTTGCTCTAGACCACCCAATGGGCTTTGGTCTGGGGCAGAAAAAGCAAGAGAAATGGGATTTGTCTTTTGAAAAGGCTACTCTTGCTATAGTGTGGGAAGCAGCTAGAAGCTCAGATTGTTGTGGGGACTCAGGAGGCAGCTGCAGTCCCCAGGTGAGCTAGGGTGGCAGTCTGGATGGAGATGGAGGGATGGCAGTGGGCAGCAGTGGGAGACTCAGGAGAGTTTAGGAAGGAAAGCCATCAGGGCATGATGGAGGATTACCTGCGCGTGTGTCAGAGGGGGGATGTTAAGGAGGCACCCCGATTTCTGGCCGTGCAGATCGATGCATGGTGGGCTGTTCACACAGATGAGGACCCCCACCCAGACCTGGACCAGGCCTGATGACCACTCAGAGCAGCAACCGACCTCATAGCAGAAGATATGCCCCTGAATTGTTGAACTGATCAATCATTTGCGAACTTAATAGCGCTCTGGGAATGACCCTAACCACGTGGTCTGTTCCCCATGGCTGTGGTAAAGGAGTTTTTGAGTGTGAAGCACTGAGCATGGAGCCTTATAACTCTCATTGCTATTTCTGAATGGTACAAAAATGCCCCTTCTAGTTATTGTCTTGTGAGAAATGAGACAGTTCTGTTCTGTTGGCCCCAGACTGTAGACTACCAGAGGTTGGGGAACAGTCTGGTTTTGTTTACCAGTATCTCATCAATGTTAACTCCTCTTTAGGAAAGGTAGGGATCCTTTACCCACCCATTCCCATTGGGAATAGACTCAATTCCACTAAGCATTCATCATAAAAAAAAAAAAAAACTACACACAACATCTTTCTTGTTTTGCTTTCTGACATTAAATAGGAGATCCATTTCTGTGGAGTATTTCAAGCCCCAATCACTTGAATATATTTTTATCTGCATCCACTTCCTGCAGTAAACTTATTTCAGATTCAAGAAACCAAAAAAAAAAAAAAAAGAAAGAAAAAAAGCAAATTTACATTATTCCTATCTCTGTTACTTAATCTCCAGGAGAAATCAGTCCAATTTAACTATTCTAACCAATTTAGCTCCTTCCAAAAACATCCACTGAGGAAAGCATGTTGGGATCCAGTCAAAACAACTCAGGCAACAGGAAGGCATTAAGGTTCAGAAGCCACTTTAGTCTGGCGCCGTGGCTCACTAGGCTGATCCTCCGCCTTGCGGCGCCGGCACACCGGGTTCTAGTCCTGGTCGGGGCGCCGGATTCTGTCCTGGTTGCCCCTCTTCCAGGCCAGCTCTTTGCTGTGGCCTGGGAGTGCAGTGGAGGATGGCCCAGGTGCTTGGGCCCTGCACCCTATGGGAGACCAGGATAAGTACCTGGCTCCTGCCATCGGATCAGCGCGGTGCGCCGGCCATTGGAGGGTGAACCAACGGCAAAGGAAGACCTTTCTCTCTGTCTCTCTCTCTCACTGTCCACTCTGCCTGTCAAAAAAAAAAAAAAAAAAATGCAGTGATCAAATCAGAGAAATAAGCATTTCCATCATCTCAAATACATTTCTTTGTGGACAGAACATTGAAAATCCCCTCTTCTGGTGATTCTGAAATATATAGTAGATTGCTGTTAGTCACAGTCACTGTCCTGGACTGTTGAACACTAAAACTTATTCCTCCTAACTAGCCGTGACTTTGAACTTGGTAATCACACTCCCACACTGTAGCCTTCCCAGACCCAGGCAACCATCATTCTACTCTAATTCTGTGAGATCAACGTTTTTAGATTCCACAAGTGAGTGAGAACATGCTGTACTTGTCTTTTGGTGCTTGGCTTATTCTAATGAAATTCATAACACATGTAAATAGGGTTGTTTGGTGCCAAAAATATTAATAAAACACTAATTATTAGTTTTTATACTATAAGAGGTATTTTTTAAAAAAGATTTTATTTATTTATTTGAAGGCAGAGTTAAAGAGAAGCAGAGGTAGAGAGAGAGAGAGAGAGAGAGAGAAAGAGGTCTTCCATTTGCTGGTTCACTCCCCAGGTGGCTTCAATGGTCGGAGCTAGGCCAATCAGAAGCCAGGAGCTAGGAGCTTCTTCCGGGTCTCCCACAAGGGTGCAGGGGTCCAACAGCTTGGGTCATCTCCTACTGCTTTCCCAGGTCTTAGTAGAGAGCTGGATTGGAAGTGGAGAGGCTGGGACTCGAACCGGTGCCTATGCGGGATACTGGCACTGCAGGCAGTGGCTTTACCTACTACACCACAGCGCTGGCCCCAAAAGGTATTTTTTTTTTTTTTAAGGTTTATTTTATTTATTTGAAAGATAGAGTTACAGAGAGAGGTAGAGACAGAAAGAGAGGCCTTCCCTCCAATGGTTCATTCCCCAGATGGCTGCAATGGCCGGAGCTGTGCTGATCCGAAGCAAGGAGCCAGGAGCTTCCTCCGGGTCTCCCACATGGGTACAGGGGCCCAAGGACTTGGGCCATCTTCTACTGCTCTCCCAGGCCATAGTATACCAGAGAGCTGGATTGGAAGATGAGCAGCTGGGACTAGAACCTGCGCCCATATGGGATGCTGGCACTGCAGGCCAGGGCTTTAAGCCTATGTGCCACAGTGCTGGCTCCCAAAAGGTGTTTTTAATTAGTGGTAATAAGATGAATGAGTCAACAAATGGTGTTGGGAGACACCACTACAGCAAAAATAAGTTCATAGTGGAGCAAATACTTACATTTGAATAATGAAATCTTGAAAATACTTGAAAAACATTGAAGAATTTAAAAAAATCATCTTAGTGGGGGAGACTAAAGTATAACACAAAATACAGAAACAGAAAAGATATTGAAATAGTGAAATAAATGAAAATATAACTTTTCATAATCAAAATCAACAAATAACAAACAAGAAAAAAATCTGCCACTTGTATCACAGACTAAATGCTGATTTTCCTAATAAAAGAGGAGTGCCTGTTATTTAATGAAAGAGCAATAAAAACAGAACAAGGATATGAACCGAGGGTTTAAAGTAAAGGAAATGGAAGCGGCTCAAGCACATAAGTGTCCAGAAGCAAACTGAAATAACACTAGCAAATATTTTTCACTTATCAATTGGAACATATATATATATATTGCATTTTTTGACAGGCAGAGTGGACAGTGAGAGAGAGAGACAGAGAGAAAGGTCTTCCTTTGCCGTTGGTTCACCCTCCAATGGCCGGCGCACCGCGCTGATCCTAAGGCAGGAGCCAGGCACTTATCCTGGTCTCCCATGGGGTGCAGGGCCCAAGTACTTGGGCCATCCTCCACTGCACTCCCTGGCCACAGCAGAGAGCTGGCCTGGAAGAGGGGCAACCAGGACAGAATCCGGTGCCCCGACTGGGACTAGAACCCAGTGTGCCGGCGCCGCAAGGCGGAGGATCAGCCTAGTGAGCCGCGGTGCCAGCTGGAACATATATATTAAAACGAGTTTTGAAAACACTGTTGGAAAGGGCATGGGAGACACATGCCCTTACAGACTGATGGGGGGAGTAAGAGCTCCATGGAGACCAATGCCTTAAATGTGGGTACCTTTTGGTTTGCAAAGTCTACCTTTAGGACTTTATCCTACAGCTACACTCATACAAGTAGAATATGACACATACCTGACATCCCATATCAGAGCACTGGTTTGAGTCCTAGAGACTTCACTTCTGATCCAGCTCCCTGCAAATGTGCCTGAGAAGGCAGCAGAGGATGGCCCACGTACCTAGCCTCTGCCAACCACGTGGGAGACCCAGGTGGAGTTCCTGAATGGCTTCAGCCTGGCCCAGCCATGACCACTGCAGACATTTATTTATGTCTCTCTCTCTCTTTTTCTGTAACTGATTTTCAAAATAAATAAATATTTTTTAAAAAGACTCCCCAAATGCTAATGGTCTCTATGGTACAACTGGTTTAATGAACAGATAACTGAATGAAATAAATAAACAAACGCATACATACATACTTGAGATCCTTCACTGCAGCATGGTTTAGAATATTAAAACCACTGAAATGTCCATCAAGAGAGGAGACGTTAAATAAAATATCACAAATGGGCATTGTGGAATATTACAGTCATTAAAATGAAACAGTTCTTTATATACTGATATGAAATGAGCTCCAAAATCTGTGGTTAAGCAAAGATAAAAACAAAAACAAAGAAGATGCAGAATAATCTGTACAGTATATTTCCACATTAAGAATATGCACTGCACTGCAGATAGAATATACACATACATACAGATATGCACATATTTGCCTTCAGATGTGTAGAATATCTCTGATGTTTACACACAAAACCTCTGGGAGGGTACAGGGTTACTGGGAGACAGAGGTAGGAAGGAGAGCTATTTTTCACTCTCTCTGTTGCATTTGAACCTTTTATATTTTTGTCATGAGCATGAATTACTAATTTAAGAAATAGATAAAACATGTAAAATTGTGCACTCCCAGCATGCGATTCTGTAATGAGATACATGCTTAGGCTCTTCACCTGGCCTGCCCTGACTCTGGTTCAGGT